GTAAAATACATGTACAGCATAAATATGCTAGTATCTAATACATTTACTTACTAAAATAACTGTACTAAATATAAATATACCATTAAAAATCCTCACCTGAGGATAGAAAGAAACATCCACATGAGAGACACATCAATTGGTTGTCCCCCACATGTGCCCTGACTAGGGGCTGGATTGGGTCTGCGACCTGAGATAGGTGCCCTTGACCGGGAATCGAACCCATACTCTAACCACTGAGCAACAGGCCAGGGCTAAACATACTATCAAATATGTAAATATCTAATGTTCTATCAGGTGGTATAAAAGCTATGAAGAATAATAAGGTAGGGTGAAAGACATGGAGAGGAATTGAGTTGTTGTTTCCCGTTATGTTTCAGAGAAGTCTTCTCTGAGGAGGTGACTTTGGGCTGAGACCTACCAATATTTGAAGAAAGAGTACTCCAGGCAGAGGGAACACCAAGTGCAAAGACCCGGAAGTGGAAACATCATTCCTTAGAACCGTGAGCTTCACTGGACAGGGGTTTCTGTTCTTTCTTGTTCACTGCTAGGACAGGGCCTGGCACACAGTGGGGGTTAGGGAGCATGTTTGCAGAATCCACCCTTTTGTTACTTTTCTCTTCATTCTTTCCTCAGTGGTGTGTTCTGCAATTAGCTGGGGCCCTGGGAGGTGTAGACAGGTGACAGACGTATACAGAGACGTGGAGACACACCTCCTGGCATCTCTGAGAGCCAAGGAGGAAGTAAGAGCTTGCAAGGGGAGCTCAAAGGTCTTGTGGGGGTGGCGGGAACACGTTGCCTGCAGAAGTAAGCAATTGTGAGAAAGCAAGGATTCCAGCCACCAGCCATTGCTCCACTGAGAGGAGAGGCTGCCAGGCGTTGGGAACCCATGCAGACATGTTCACCCTGTGGGATGCTTTCCACGTCCTGTTTTCTTGCCTCTCACAAAGAGGATGTTTAATTTTCTTTTGCAAAGAAACTTGCTTCCTCCAGCAGGGCCAGGGGATAGGAGGACAGGAACCAGGCTCTGAACTCCCCAGGCTCTTCCCGAAGCAGGGTGTCGGACTGCAGCTCCCACCGACACCCACTGAGAATAAGGTGTCTCTCACGGCTCATGAAGAGTCAAGGAGGGAAGCTGC